ACAGGGCTTCCAGAAGCAGGCGCTGCGGCCGGCCACTACGCCCTTGCCCAGGGTCCCAAACAGGATGTCCCCACGAAGGAGGTGCACTGAAGACCGCACGCTGGCAGCACGGCAGCCCGAAGTCCTGCCCCTTCAGCCAGAAGCTCCAATTCCCCAGAACACTTCACAGGCCATGGCACCCACTGCACTAACAGATGGGCACATTCCAGCACATTCTGGGACCTCATGCCCCTGTGGATGCATTTAATGGGTGTCTTAATTAGGGCCTATTATTAAAAAAGAATATTGCATAACGGAATTGGGCCATAAACCGTAGCGATGGGCGATTTTCCTTTTTGAATCATTCCTTCTCTCTCACCTCCTGCTCCCACTCAGTGCACACAGACAATACACACCTCTAAACCGGGCTCTCCACCTTCCAGCAGCTGCTGGGAATCGGGACCTGCATGGCTTCCAAAGGCGGCTGGAGCAAGACAAATGACCTGCCAGCACTCGGCCCAGCTGTCCTCCCAGACAAGGGGCAGATGGGGAACAGGATCAGCAGCTAGCCCTCAACTGCCCCCCATACTCCAGGTGGGGCTAGAGAGAGGTCACGTGGGAAGCAACTTGGTCCTCTGCTTCCCCCGCTGACATTCTCGGGCTGCAAACAGCCTGCGGAGACCATGCAGCCTCTGGCACCCCTACAGATAAGGGGTGTGGAGGGTGGGGGGAGCAGGGCAGATGCTCAGAACTCAGCTAAGCATTCCAAGACCTGACTGTTTTCTGCATTGAATTTTGGGTTGAAACCATGTGTTCTGACTAATAGAAGGCATTCTGAAAGAAATGAAAAATGTTAATACGGATGTTATACAATTTTCTCTCTCATTGCTGTGAAGTGGGAATGAACTTATAGCTGACCTTTGGGAGGGAAGGTTTCTGAGGTTCTCAACTGCATGGGAGGAGACTGCCCACTTTTCTCCCTTGGAGTCAAACCACCACAGAGATGAGGGCTCTGCGTTAATAGTGCAACTCCCTACGGATGAGGCCACTGAGCTCCCTTTGACACAAATACTGGGACACCTGGCCCCAACACACCTCTTGGTGCTACAGGTGATATAACGAGGCCTCTTTAGAGTCATGGCTCCCAACAGATGGAATCATACACTCAGTGGGATGGGAGCTTCCCATTGAACCCTGATGTAGAAAATGTAAGTGGGCACCCTTGTCGGGTAGGTTAAATTACAGCACCAGCACTGACCACACTCAAGAAGCAACTGCTTAGCTTCTGAGACACAGAGGTGCAGACAGAGAGCAGACTGGCTCCCAGGGCCGGGACTGGCCAGCCTCCCTGTCCGAGGAGGGAGGCTCACTCTTGTGGGCAAAGGCGGGCAGCTCTGGACTTCTGAGGGCTTCTTCTGCCCAGTGGCCCCTGAGGACCAGCAGATAAGGAATGGTGTCTGGAAGCGGCTGCCCAGAGCGTCAGGGCACTGCCTGCCCTCCTCTCCTGTCTTCGCAGCACCAGAGAGATGAAAATCAAGGTCTGCTCAGTGAATGGACCATCGAAGTCAAATGTCTTTCACCTCAACATCATCTGGCCCGGCAGGTCTCCAAGGCCATGAACCCACACAGGAGGAGATGACCTCTTCCCCCTTGGAGAAGCTGGTGGATCGAAGAGGGTGACTGGCAGCTTAGCAGCCCAGCACGTAACACAAGATGCCCCTGGAACTCCCTTCACCCCAAGAGCCACAGTGACTTCCAGAAGCAGATGAGAACCTGGCCCTGGCAACGTGTCCTTGCCTGGATCCCAAGCAGATCAGTCTCCGAAAGGAAGACGTTCAACGAGATGGAGTAAGAGCTGCCTGCTGTTGTGAAGATGGCACGGGAACGGGCAACATCTTATCCTACATGCGGGGTCTTGATAAGCCGGAGCCAAGTCCACAGCACCTGGCTACACAGATGGGCCACCTAAGGACAGCGCAGGCATCCTGAGGGAAGTCCATCAAGGCTTACCTGTACACGAAGTCCAGACACTCTGAGCATGAACAGGGGTGTTTACCCAGCAGAGAAGACTCCAATGATGACTGCCCCATGAGAAGGATGCACTCACAACAGAGGGGTGCAGAAACAACAAGAGAGATGGGCCAAGATGAACTCCAAGTGGCTGCAGATACTTTAAATCAGAAGTGATCACAGGAGAAAGAAGACTTAATCTCCAACTCCTTAATCCTATAAAGAGTCAACTCTATGGAAACAGGGTGTTTTCTGTCTGTCTCCCTGGAAAAACAGTTCTCTCTCACGTGGAACAGTCAAGAAGAAGCATGGCTGCTACGTGGCCATTTCACAAGGCGTTATCCACAGAGAAACCAGCCCCAGATGGTGAGTCAACGTCCTCCAGGTCCAGCAGGTTGTCGAATTCCCTAGGAATCAAGCAGCCTGGACCCTCACTGGGGCTGTGTCAGGATGCCAAGGTGGAGGGGCTCAGCTGCTGGGACCCCTTGGGGGTTGAAGACCTAACACATCTCAGTCCTGAGAAGGATGCTCTGTGGCACAGAGTACCTAGTTGGTGCCTGTTTGTTTTATACATCACTGCCTTCCTCCCTAAAGGGCAGATCTCACAAAAGTCTCCATTCAAAGCGCTCACTACATCCCAGGCAGCTCCCAACAAACCGGGGCATACTGTAAACACACAATACTGTGGTGGCTTTGATCAGTGCCTCCCAAAGCTCAATGTCTTCCAAGAGAAAAATTAAAAATAGCTACTGAGTCTACTGTCTGGGCAGATGAACAAAAAAACAAGCCAAGCACTGTTGGGGCAACTGCAGCTCATGGTGACCTCAGAGGGCAGAGTCAAACTGCCCCATGAGGGTCCCAATGCTGGAGTCATACAGGGGCAGACCTCCTTGTATTTCTACCCTTACAGAGTGACAGATGGGTTCAAACTAGCAACCCTTTTGGTTAAGCATTTTAACCTCTGCACTATCAGAGCTCTGGACAGACTTGAGAGCTGTGAATTGAGCATTCCATAAAATATCAAATAAAATGTTAAGACATGCATCAACTAAGACTTTGTCATCAACTGTCAACTTTGGCCTGGAAATCTGAGGTCCCTAATCACCTTCCAAGGGCATAGGCACCCTGGTGTGGTATTGTGTTAAGTGCTGGGCTTAACCAAGGCCCCTGTGTCCTAGACAAAGGGGCCAATCTCCCTGGGGTACAACATTCAAGGACATCCCGTGTCTTCAGAGGAGGCTCCAGGGAAATTGTGGTTTTAGCCCAGTGGCTTGAATTCTAGGGGCTGGCAGTCTTTGGGGTGCTATCTGCTCTAAAAACTTATAGGTCAATTCTTTGTAAGGATTCCTACTGGGACCTTGAAGCTGGCCAGCAGACAAGACCTCCTGAGCAGGCCAGTCAGGGGCCAGCTCCATCCACATGAGTCGGGAACCTCCACTGGGGAGAAATGGGAAAGTGAGTCCTTTTCAGACATAGGAGGGATGACAAAGAAAACTCCCCTCTGTGAATGTGGACATCAGTCCTTCTGCCAATCACCTTGGGGATGGACTAGGCCTCAGAATATGGGAACTAAAGACACAGAAGCCATTTCTACAGCATAAGCTGTCCTGAAGGAGACTGGCAGGACATCCCCTGGAAAACCAGACCCTTTCCAGAGCTGGGAGACCTTCACCACCCGGACCAAATCATCCCCTGAGACTGAGAAGTTCCCAGCAGGTCAAGACACAACTCACTGCCTTCCGAAGGCTTCCGGAGACCAGCATGGACTTTCCCTTATCCATAAATCAAACAAAATCTCAGATCATCTTTCTGGAAATGGCATATAGATATTACAGAAATATATGTTCATCATATATATTTCATATATGAGAACATATATGTATTTATACATAATTTATTTTTGAAACAAGGAATGTCCTGTCATTTCTTTAACCAGGAGAGGAAGCCACGTCCACCTCCTCCAAATACCCACTCTCGCCCAAGCATTCCAAAACGAGCATTCTAACCCATGCGCTTTGGGTTGCGCAAGATCATCAAACGAGAAGAAAATCAGAAAATAGATACTCTGAGGTTCCAACAGTTTTCCACGTTCCTCCGACAGGTCCAGTTGATGTGGAAAACTGTTGGAGCTGGAGATGAGGAAATTAAGCATGTCTTCAAATTATCATTGGTTCTCGATTAGTTAATCCATTGTTAGCTCTGTGTTCTTGCATCAATAATGCATATCGGTTTAGCAAGGTGCATGCTCTTGGGAAATTTTTGAACTGGCAAGCGGAAAGGATCCGTGTTTTCCTGCCCACCCGTCCCCTAAAAAGATGTTAATATAATTTAGAACCTAGCACTTAAAATCATGGGCATGGCACACCTAGCGGAGGCTGCTCGAGGGGCATGCTTGGTTTGGCAAGCTGATAGACCAATCACCACGTGGCTTCTGGTTTCCCGTTGGTTTAGAAGCGGCCGGAAGCAGGCTGTGAACAAAATCGTGGGATGGAAAAGAAACGCGGAGTACCTGGAACGTTCCGGTTGCTTTTGTCGCATGGCTCCCACGCGCACTTAGGCCCACCCTGGCGTGGCTGGCACGCGCCCTGGCACCCACTCACGCGCACTCACGCACACACGCGGCCACCCAACCCGGGAGGGACCGAGAGGCCAGGGACGCCTCCGAGGGCGCGCGCTCGGCTGGGGTGCACCGGCAGCTGGGTCTCCGCTCTGCTCGGTCTGTGTCCTCTCCTTCTCACACCTGTCCTGGGAAAGCCGCCCCGGAGATGGAGCAGGTGGCGAGGGGGCAATGTAAGGCATATTCTGCTGGGGGGGCGGAATCCATGCTCCATGCTCAGACGCGAGGTTCCGAGGAGGGTGGCCTGTCCTCCCCGTCCTGCTCTGCCTCGCCGGAGAGGTGGGGCGAACGAAACCGAGAAGGGGAGAGAGAAAGGCATCGCGACAGCAGACAGCAAAGGGGACAAATGACGGTGACAATAAATAAGGGACGACGCGGGAGGGACTTGGCCCGGCCCTAGATGGACTTGCGCCGCCGCATCAGCCGGTGGCTGTCCGTGAAGCTGTGCAGCCCGGGCGAGATGGAGCTGAGCGGCGACGGGAAGAGACTGTTCTTGAGTGTGCTTGGCGAGATCTCCTCCATCCGGTACGATGTGGAGCGGAAATAGTGCGCTGCGGGCGCGCCGCCCAAGGCGTTGTGGTGCGCGGCGGGCCGGGGCGCGTGCGCGCGGTAGCACAGGCACGAGCACACCGACTGCAGGTCCGTCACGTCCGCCTGCGGCCGCGCCCGCGCCCGCGCGTCCTCGGGGGCCAGGGCCATGCTGGCGCGCGCGCCGGCCAGCGACGCCCGCTCCTCGGCGTCCCGCCGCTCGTCCTCGCTGTTCATGGTCAAGAACCTGAGGACCACCAGGTTGAGGAAGGCCCCGATGACCGTCAGCCCCACCAGGATGTACATAAAGCTAAAGGCCACGTAGAGCGGCTTCTTCTGCAGCGCGCCCTTGGTCTGCAGGGCCACGTAGTCCCCGAAGCCGATGGTGGTCAGGGTGATGAAGCAGTAATAGTAGGCGTGGAAGAAGCTCCACTCCTCGCACTGGGAGAAGGCGGCGGCGCCGATGCACAGCGTCCCCATGCACGAGAAGAAGCCCACGGTCACCATGTTCTCCATGGACACATCGGTGTTGCGCATGCCGCAGCACTTCTTGATGCGCTTCAGCAGGTAGCGCACGAACGTGTTCATCCGCTCGCCCAGGCTCTGGAACATGACCAGCGTCAGCGGGATGCCGAGCACCGCGTAGAACATGCAGAAGGCCTTGCCCGCGTCGGTGCCCGGGGCGGCGTGTCCATAGCCTGGAGGGGTGGAAAGAAAAGAACTAGTGAGGAGGTGTGCGTGAGGTTAGCGTAGGGGTGAGGTGGGGACCTGTGAACAGGGGAGTTGGGGAGGTTCTGTCAGTAGGGATGGGTTGGAGGGCCTTTCAGTCGGGTTGAGGTGGGGACCTGTCAGTAGCGATGGGTTTGGGACCTATGAGTAGTGGAGGGTTGGTCAGGGCTCTCTGGTAGGGTTTAGGCTCTCTCAGTAGGGATGGGGTTGGGGACAATTGGGTAGGGGTAAGGATTAGGGCATTTCACTAGGAATTGGGCTGGAACATTCCAGTTGAGATGCAGTCTAGGCATGTCACTAGGAATGCAGCTGGAATACTTGGGAAGGGATCACTCACTGACATGGAGTCAGAACCAACCACAGCTGACTGAGAGCCTAGTGAGGAGGGAGTCGTGCTGCCAACCCAAAGGGATGCTGTTCAAATCCACCAGCTGCTCCAGGGCACAGAGATGGGCAGTCTCCTCCCTTGTTATTTGCAGCCTCTGGAAACCTGTTTATCTGTAAAGCTGTGTCACAGGTGAGGGCCATAGCTGGAGGGTCGGTTCTGACTCCAGGGCAGTGAGTGAGTTGGTAAGGCGAAGGGCTGCAGCATTTCAACAGGGAGGGATTTGGGTGTTTCAACAGGACTGGAATTGGAGCACTTTAGGTAACGATAGATAGAGTCGGACTGTAGGAATGGGCCTGGGATACCTCGGGGGGGGGGGACATTTCTATGGAGAAGGGACTTGGGGCGTTTCAGTAGGGACTGGATTGGAATATTTTGGTAGGGGTGTGGGTTATTTCCATTAGGGATCGGTTTGGAACACTTTAGTGTAGGGCTGTGGATTGGGGTATTTTGGTAGGACTAGGAACAGGAGGGTTCCAATAGGGACAGGGTTGGATCATTTCCATGGAGATAGAGGTTGAGGAATTTCAGCTGGGATTGGGGTTGGGAACTCTTTGGGAAGGAGACCATCAATGGAAACAACAGAGGTCAGGAAGAGCAACTTTAAAAAGCTGAAAGAAAGAAAACTGTTAGCTGAAAGAAAGAAAGCATCCTTTGAAAATGAAGGCAAAATAAAAACCTTTTCACATTAAAGCAAATTAACAGAATCCATTCCCATCATACCCCCACAGGGGGAAAAAAAAACACCAACAAAACCCCAAAACAAGTGAAGTTCTTCTGACTGAAGGGAAACAACGCCATCTGGAAACGTGGGTCTTCAGGGAAGAATGGAGCACGTGAAAGTGCTAAACAGGTAAATGCAAAGACGCAGGATGGGAGGGGAGCCCTGCCCAACCTCGCTGAGCTCACCTGCGCATCGGATGCCAACACCAGATGGATAGGGTAGAATGACAACACAGTATCGGAAACTCAACAATGTGGTGATTAATGCGAACAGTTCCAGTTGGGATATTTTTATTGGAGGAAATAAACACAATGTTTGCTGGCTCACAAACTGCAGGGTCTCCTGTCCCCATTCCTGTCAGCAGAGCTGAGCAAGGCCCTCGGCTTTCAGATGGCCTGGACAGCAGTGAGCCTGTGATGTTCTGTCTCGGTCTTTCTGCTGTTGGTCATGTCAGGGTCTGTCCATCTCACTAGCCCATTGCATTGATGACATGGTGCTCCTTTCTGGAGACACGGCTACCACCAAACCCAGTACCTCTTATGTCAGTGAAGTTCCTCGAAGCCCGGGGTCCCACATCAGAGTATTCCTTCTATCCAGTCTCCAGCTGGCCTTTCCAACGGAGAGCCCCAGGAGGAAGTGAAGAGAAGTGAGAGGACTGAGGTCCCTGAACTTGGCTGCATTTCTGGCTATCTGTTAGCTGACCCTCAACAGGTATCCCACCCAGCCAGTGGCTCTTGGCATGGTAATTTCTCACCACGGATGCCAGTCCTGGGGTGCCCACACCTGACTGTTCCTTTCCCTGAGTTTTGTCTCTTCCGTTTTCTGATTGTCCATCCCAGGGTGCTCTCCGCAGCGAAGACCCTGACTGATTCACCACCTGTACAGGGGGTCATGGTGAGGGTCCATCCTAGCACCTCTATTCAAGTAGCATGGCTGACTTTTTAGTAGGTTTTCGTTATTACTGCTGCTTCTAATCAATACTTTTATAAATTTCATCTTTGGGGTTGGCATGATAATTAGAACATCAGCAAATTGCTTAATGGAACACTGTATGGAGTACATATTGCTAATGATACAGTTTATCAATAAAACAAACAGGGACAGTCATAAGGAAGTCCTAACTCAATTATGTCAGAAGTCAGGGGCAACCTGCATTCTGGTGCATCGGTCTCTTGCCAACTAGCTGAAAAGTTGACAGTTTGACTCCAGAGATGCCCCCAAAGGCGGGTCTGTCTGCTTCTGAACGCTCACAGCCAGACAGTAAGGATGACAGAAGAATCGATGCCTTTGCGTGGTGCTGTTGAAGAGCACTGAACACCCCATGGACTTCAAGAGAACAACACATCTTAGAAAAAGGGCAGCCGGAGGGCTCCTCAGAGACAAGAACTTAGACACTGTATCTCCCAGATACTTTGAACATGTCACTAGGCTGTATTCCTTGGAAAGGTATGTCATGCTTGGAACTGTGAGGGTCAGCAAAAGAGAGGAAGAGTCCCCAGTGAGATGGACTGACACTGTGACTGCAGCAATGGGCTTGAGGGTGTCAGATGATGAAGATGCCACGGGACAGGGCAGAGTTCAGATCTGTTGTTGGTAGGGTCTCTATCAGTGTACTCGACTCGCTGGCCCATAACAAACAAGCCACTCTGAGGGAGACGGATATGGCAGTCTGCTCCCATGAAGATGGTGAACGGTCCCCCTGGGGTCACCAGAGTCAACTGGGAGATCACAGTCCCCAAAATGACATTCTGCATCCTACTTTGATGCATAGCAACTGTTGAATACTGTCAAGTCAGAACTGACCCATCGCGGCTGTGAGAGGCAGTTAATCCCATGGGAGGGACTGCCCATCCTGCTGCTTCAGAGCAACTGGGGGATTCAAACCACCTGCCTTCAGGTCGGCAGCACAGCTCCTTACCAGTAGGCCACCAGATCTGCCTACAATCATCTCGGAGGCAATGACTGGTCTCTCCCTGTTGGAACACAGAAATCAAAGATATGTAGCAAGAATTAGCCAGAAGACTGATGGAGTAACACCAGCAAGGTACTCCCTCCTTAGAATAACCAACTCTACAAGGTCAAATGCATCAGGGCTGTAGCCTCTCTTCATACGTATGCTGAGCAAATCATTTCAGACACTGGGCTTTATGAAGAAGAATGGCAGCTGGATTGCAAGATCATCAACAACTGTGCTGTGCAGATTAACACAACCTTGCTTCCTGAGAGTTAGGAGGACCTGAAGCGCTTTCTTTAGAGAATCAAGTACTACAGCCTTAAAAATTAATTGCAAGAAAGAATTACATCACTCACCTGACTTGGGAAGGTCTAGAGAGCATTATGCTAAATGAACTTAGTCCCATAAGAACAAATACTGTTGTTCTTCTTGTTGTTGTTGCTGTTAAGTGCCGTCAAGTTGCAGGTGACTCACAGCGACCCTATGAAGGAGAGTCCTTGACGCTTGGACAAATACTGTATAAGACCATAATTGTAGATATAGAAAGATAACTAGTAAAATGTGTATGAGGATTCAAGGTGGGAGGGTAGGAGCGCAGGGGTGAGGATAGGCAGGAGGTAATCGTAGGATCACACAATTTGATGGATAGAAGGAGGGGTGGGTAAAGGAAATGAGAGAGATCCAGTGTCAAAAACAATGCATACAAACTTTGTAAGTAAACCAGTATAAAAACTATTAAACTTTTTTAATTAAAAAAATTTATCTCAACATTCAAAAAAAATTATCTTTTAACTTGTTAGCTAAATTTGTGTCTTCTAGGCTGTAACAGTTCCATGATACATCTTCAAGGATATGAACATGTACGGCTAAGCACAATTGATCTAAATTCCAAAATCAATCTCCATAATAGTCTATGTGTTTCCTACTGCCAAAGGGGCCCTTTAGAGTAGTGAGAGAAGATCTTCACCCTGAAACCTACAGCGTCCCTTTTCAGCAGGAAGTAGCTAAGAGAATACGCCATCCCCTTTTCCTTATGAATCAGGGTGAAGTCTCTCTCAGGGAAGAGTGATAGGGAATGGCAAAGGACACACTGACAAAGGAGATTAATCAGAACTGGCTTTGACAAGCACCGTGGCAATGGGACAATTAAAACAATCCTTCAAGGAATAGTCAACCTGAATCCTTCTGATCATATGGAGATTTTTGAAAGTATTTCTTTGAGTTTATTTTAATTTGTTTTGTTTGTGTATAAAGGATGCTCATCTAGATGATAACATAATTATGATAAAAACAAAAGGGAAATATGGGACACCAATACTAAATATTTGTAATCAACTGAATCCTATTTAAATTTAAAAAAAATAAATGGCTTAAATAAAAAAAAAAATCACTATTGGACCAATAAGATAAATGGAAAAAAAGATTGACATTTTCAACAATTTCATCTTGCTTGGATCCACAGTCAACACCCGTGGTAGCAGCAGTCAGATCAGATGTATTGTTAGGTGCCATCGAGTCGAGTATGACTCACAGAGACCCTATGAACGAAAGATCTGAACCCTGTTCTGTCCTGCACCATCCTCACACTTCCTGACACACAAGATCCCATTGCAGCAGTCACCTTGTCAATCCACCTGGTTGAGGGTCTTCCTCTCCTTAACCGACTCTCCACCCTTCCCAGCATCATGTCCCTCTCCAAAGAATAGCCCCTCCTAGCAGTAAATCCAGAGGATGTGAGGTGAAGCCTCATCATTCTTGCATCCAAAGAGCACTCTGGCTGCACCTTTCTCCAACACATACCTGTTTTCTTGGCCATGCATGGAATGTTCAGTGCTCTTTTTTTCCCCAGCACCAGACCTCGAAGGCATCAATTATTCTATCATTCATTGTCCAGATCTTGGATGCA